GAACTGGGATCAGGTGACGGTGGCGGGGCCACAGGTTGGGCCTGGGCCGCGGGGTAGATGGGTGGTGGCATACTTGTCTGCGGTCCGGCTACTGGTGGCGTACTTCCCCATAGCACAATTGCGTTGATCACTGGTCAGGACCACTGTCTATAGGAGGGCGCCCCGCCTTGCGAGGGGCCCGTACTAGATGATGGAGCCGCCACATTTAAAGGGGCTGCTGCCTGGGTTTGAGGCGCCTGCGCTTTTCCTGATCCTTGTCCGCCCTGCGCCAAATTACGCACTTTGCGCTGGACCTTCGTCAGGTGCTGCGGCACCGGCTCTTCCTCTTCCCAGAGCTCCTCCTGGCCAGCCTCCTCTATCACTGACTCTTTTCCTTTTACTTTAACAGCCGTCACCACCCTCCTTTGCACCACCGGCTCTGTCGCATACCCTAGCTGTGCCAATACGTCTGTAACAATCCTTGTTACTCCCGGGGTCCCAGAAGCGGTCGCATCTCTTTCCTTTCTCATCTGCCTTTGCAGGCGTACCAGACGTTGTTCCACCTGGTCCAAGCACCCAACTTCCACCCCTCCGTCAATGGTGGCCCAGGTGAGCTTAGTGCTACCTCCTCCATGTCTTGTCAACTCGACAGCCTCTGATGCTGTGAGTAGCCCAAGGAAGATGGCGCACTGTGCTTCCTCCGAAATCCCATGGACCTTCCGCGCCCTCTTCTTAAATTCTTGAACAAAGGCCCCTATAGTCGTAAAATCCTCTTTGTTCATCGCTTCAAGGTCCGTGGTAGTCAACAACCCGTCTCCCAGGCGGTATTTCCTCTGCATCCCCTCCTTGAACCTTTCTCAGCTACCTTGAGCCGCATCTATGACTTTCTTCACCTCCTGATGGTAGCTGTGGAGGACATACTGAAGGATGCGTTGAAACTTTACAACATCCGGCCGCCCGACCAAAGCTTGTTCCACCCGCTCTAGCCATTCTGAGACTCTCTCTCCACAGAAATGGAAAGTATCGACCTTTGGGATGTTGCTCGGGTTCCTTTCATGTCGGTCGATCGCGATGAGGTCATCGAGTGTCAGGCCCTTCTTGGGAACAACTGATGCGCCGCCAGTCTCAGGCATCTTGACAGCCTTTTCTTTTTAAGTTCCCTGGCAAAAGAAAACAAGTACATCCCCTTATTCAACATTATACCTTGACTCGTCTATTCCATTCGTCCTACCTAACCCTTAGTACTTACTTTACCCACCGTTAACTCGATCGTCCCTCATACTTCCTCTACTTGGGTAGGTAAATTTCCTCACCTACACTTAGTCATTCATATATTCCTTCATTACCTTCTCATCACTCTTTTATGCCTTTTCTTATTCACTTCTCATACTCGGATGTCGTTCCACCAGGGACAACGGTAGGCTTTCCGTTATCCCCGGCAACGGCGCCACCTGTTGGGCGCATCGGTCCGGCACCGCACGGGGGCAGCGCGGGACCCTCCCGACCGCGTCACGCAGGAGTTGGTTTTCATAACCCTTCGTCGCAATATACATAGAGCTTCCGCAAGCCGCTCCGGCCGGGTGCGCCAGCCATACCTCTCGCGAGCCCCTACGACAGGATAAGGCCTACGCGAGGCACAACTTACCTACGCCTTACGGGAGCTGTCACCTCCCTTCGGTGGGCGTATCCCCGCCGAGCTACCAGTCCACAGTACGAAAGCTAATCAGTTGCAATCGCAGAGGTGGACCAGCCGAGGGCGTTTCTCGTTCGTTGTAGCATAGGGGGTACGCGCGGTAATACGCCTCTATCGGACCCGCACGCGAACCGACATCTTGGGGGGGCTGAGGTCCCAAG